AGATGTACCACATCACCAAATGGAGATCCCAAAAGCTTTACTCTATCCCCATCCTTAAGGTCAGGTCTACTCTGAGGAGGCAGATCATCCTCAGTTGCATTTTGAGTGCCTTTTGACCTGAGGGGTTCATCTTCCGGCACTATATCGGACAATGTTTCAGGGCTATTCATAGTTTTCCAGTAATATATCAGACAGTGTTTCACTGATATGCATTAGGATTTTCACTGGCCAGTTCTTGAGACGTGGATGGCTTCTTCCTTCTTCCAAGAGTTGTCTTAGCAACCACTATAGTAAGACAAACTAACAGATAAGTTTGTCTCTTTTAGTTGTTCCAAATTGCTCTGCTCACTTCCTGGCCTCCCTCAGCTGCTCCAAACCTGGAAATTGTAAAATGGTACAGCTGAATTTAGGAGGCTGTAAGTCCATGTTATTATCCCAGCTCTAGGGGAAGACTTTCCCTCTGTGTCTTTTTTTTTCCAGGAGGATCCCAGCTCAGGGATCTTGGGTCCAAAGGATGCACTCCACTCCTGACTCCTCTTTATTGGTGGTAGCAGGTTTAGTAATAGGATTCATTTTTTTTTCTTTTAAGGGAACTACCCAACCTCCCCCTTCCCTGTTAGTGCATAAGATTCAGATGGCACTGATTATACCCCTCAGCTCCAGAGGAAAGTCCACATCCCCTGACCACAGTGGTTGCTTCAAGAATAAGCATGGGGTCCAGGCTGGGCCAACAAAATTCAACTTACTTTGGTGGAGTTGCCACCAGGGTTCTGACTAATGCATATGTAGCATTTTCCAGTGAAAGGTTAATGTCACAGCAAGTTACTCACATAGTCAGATTCTCCTGACATCTACCCACTGTGAGTTCTTTACAACCTAGTAGGGAATGGGAATGTTAACAGATAATTTTTGTAAAATACCTTAAGAGCATTCATTCATTCAATAGTATTCAGTGAGAGTCTATCTTATGCCTGGCTCTGTGCTACGTGCTAGGGGTGGAGTTTGAAGGAAACAGTCATGATCCTTTCCCCATGATGTTCTGAGAGATGTACATGTATGAGCATCCAGGGGAGTACTCTAACCTGGCATTGGTGTGTGTATGTGGGTGTCCAGCATGATTTCTTTCTTTTTTTTTTTTTAATTTTTATTGTGATTTGGGTGAAAGTTTATAAAGCAAATTCATTTTCCATACAGCAGCTCACATACACTTTGTCTCATGACATTGATTGCAATTTCCCACAATGCAACAGCTCCCCTCCCACTTTCTCCCCAGTTACCTCTACCCTGTGTCCTTCCCTCCCATGCACTCTTGCCCCACCCCCAGCTGTTTCTCCCATAATTGATCTCTCCAAGAAGTGTATCCACCTAATGTAAATGTTCGGCTCATATGCCTGCAGGATGACTTCTTGAAGGAAGGAACTGGCCTCTTAAATACATCTTGAATTCTGTAATTTTCTTCCTCATCCTTATAACTACTGTCTTAGTTCACAGGAACCCTGGTGGTACAACAGTTAAATCATTTGGCTGCTAACCAAAAGGTCAGTGGTTTGAACCCACCGGCCGCTCTGGAGGAACAAGATGTGGCAGTCTGCTTCCATAAAGATTACAGTCTTGGAAACCCTGTAGGGAAGTTCTGCCCTATCCTATAAGGTTACTATGAATAGTAATCAACATCTTAGTTCACACCCTTTTCATTTCACATCTGAGTTACAGCAAAAGCTTTCCAACTAGACACTATACATCCACTCTTACCTTTGTGTCTAATATTCAATTGATTTTTTATTCAGATGACAGAATGATCTTTTCTTAGAAACTTAGTCATGTATAACATACCTACAAGGAAGTACATATGTAAGAATACCAAACCCACTGCCATCAAGTCGACTCATCCAGCATGATGAGTTTCCTCACCCAAATACACCCATTAACTAGTATCTGTATCAGTACACATTGGCAATATTTCAGAAACTCTTCTGATGTGTTCTTCCAAATGATTTTTTAAAAATACAGATCTTATTATATTGCTCCTTTGCTTTGTTAAAACCTTTCAAGTTGATTCTAACTCATGGAGACCAGATTGTGTTTCAGAATAGACCTGGGCACCATAGGTGTTTCATGGCTGTGATCATTTGGAATCAGTTCACCAGGCTTGTCTTCTGAGGTGCCTCTGGTTAGACATGAACCAAGAACATTTTTGCTACTAGCCCATCACGTAACTGTTCACACCATCCAGGGACTCCTTAGCCAAACTAAACCCCATTGCCATTGAGTCTATTCCAATTCATAGCTATCCCATAACACAGAGTAGAACTGCCCCATAGGGTTACCAAGGGAAAGGAGCTCTGGTGGAGCAGTGGTTAAGGTGTTTGGCTGCTAATCATGAAGTTGGTGGTTCCAACCCACCAACTGCTATGCAGAAGAAAGATGAGGCAGTCACAGATTTACAGCCTTGGAAACCCAATGGGAGTTTCTATGTGTTGGAATCAACTCAGTGGCATTGAGCTTAGACTTTGGTAATCTTTACGGAAGTGGACTCCCACATCTTCCTCTGGCAGAGCAGCTAGTGGGTTTGAACCAGTGACCTTTTGGTTAGCAGCCAACTGCTTAACCACTGTGCCACCAGAGCTTCTTTTAGCCAAACTGAACTCTTATAATCCCTAACCTATTACCCTAGTCCTCACTGCCTAGCCTTTGCATGTGCTGCTCATTCTATTTAGACTAACATCTCAGCCCTATCCCTGCTGTTTTATAATTATTCTAGGGGCCCCTTCTCAAAGCCTTAGATGATCCTTTCCCTTCCCACTGTCTCTTTCATTGCTTTTTGAAGGTAGAAACTGTGTTTTTCATCTCCTTTTCCCAATTTGTTAAATGAATAAATGAAAATACTTGGTTTTATTACTTTCTCTTGATTCTCTCCCCATCCCTAGCCTTCTTTTAAGTAAGACCAATCTGTGACCTTGTGAAAAAAATCAATGCTTGTGAAACTTCAGTTAGTAGTTTGTGGAGAAGTCATGTCTAGTTCCCACTGAGCAAGCCACACTCTCTTGTCCAGTATCTTCCCTCACTTACTACCCCTTTAAGGCAAGAATGAGCATTCACTGAAGTAGGGGCACTTTGTGGTGCCACAGCCTACCAAAGTTAAGTGGACAAAATGGAAAATTATATTCATACAATATGAGCATACAAAAAGTTGGTTTAATTGGACCAGCTGAAGGATTCAAGGGAAAATTAGGAGTGGAGGGAGGAGGAAGGATGCAAGCAAGCAAGTGTTCTCCTACTAAGTCCAGGCACAATGTTAGGCACTATCTATTATGTCTTAATTTACTGAGGTGGGGGAGAAAGTGCCTAAATGTAGTTTTTTAACTGCAGAAAAAGAAAAGTCAATACATCCTTTTCTTTCTGTGGTTGAAACAATTTGTACATTTATAGCTTTTGCTTTTTAATTAAAAATAATAGAGGTATTAGAATGAAAAATCATGGAAATTTCTCATCTCAGTGACAATCTCCTTAACTAGGTTAAAATAATGATTGAAAAGCCCCACTGCCATCAAGTGGATTCTGACTCATAGAGACCCCCATTGAGTTTCCAAGGCTATATAAAAATCTTTATGGAAGTTGATTGCCTCATCTTCCTCCCACCCCACAGAGCAGCTGTGGGTTTTAACCACTGACCTTCTTGTTAGCAGCCAAATGTCTTAGCCACCACACCACCAGATGTCCTTAAAATAATTATAGGAAATTAACAAAAAAACAGAAACATTATAAAAAGAGTTTCCTGTACAGGAGGAAATGTTACAAGGTTGATGGGCATAACCAAAGCATCTAACCCCAGTTAGAGGCAGTGCCACCTGAAAACATACTTAAAGACACTTCCACATTTGGTACATTTAGCTTGGTACAGCAATTTGAAAGTTTAGGTAGGAAACTTAGGGGTCAGTGAGTCTATGTCAGTGAGAGAGGAACAATTCAGAAAACGAGGTGAAAATGGTTGCACAACTTGAAGAATGTAATCAATGGCACTGAATTGTAAATGCGGAAATTGTTAAATTGGTGTATGTCTTTCTGTATATATTTCCCACAACAATTAATAATGTGAGTCTGAGAGCTCTAGTAGCCTCCAGGAAAATCTTTAACCAGAAACCTTTTAGTGTCAGCATTACTAACAGAACTTTTGGACTCTTTAGGGCCTTTATCTGCCCTCCAGTCTCAGCGGGTATCAAGAAACTTCCTCCGAACTCAGCACGCATCACAAAAGCCATCCGGATTCAGCACGTATCGGAGCTTTGCTCGACTCCTGAAAGTCTCCCACATACCTGAGCCTTGCATCCTCCCTAGATAATATTTTCCTAAGTGAACTTTGGAGCCGGGGGGTTTCTTTATGTCCCCCAACATCTTAGATCACTGCCCTAAATCCCTTAGCAACAACCAATCATCTGTACCCTCTTGCCCTGGTGCTGCCCCTCCCCATATTGTTCCATAAAATTGTGAAAATACCGGGGCACAGGGTCTTTTGCTTAAGCCACTGACCTGGTAAGGGCAAAGACCCTAACTTAAGTTAGCTAATAAACTTTCCTATTGCATTTGCATTGTCGTGTGTTAGCATATTCCTCTCCGAGCATCTCCTTCATAACCTGGGCACAACAATAACAATAATAATAATAATAATAAAGGAAGAAAAATTGACCAAAAAAGAAAGAAAGAAAGAAAAAACACCACCACCTGGCAAGTTGGCACTATTCCCAGCAATGTCTATTCCTTAACATCCTGTAACATGTATCATGCGCTGTGGGGACCAAAAGGATACACAGATGTGATCCATTAAAAATCCAGTCCACACCGCCTCCTCTCCTTCAGTCAGCAGCACCAGCGGTGGACTATTTAGAATTTCTCTGGAAAAAAGTTGAATAACATAAATGAAGGCCAAAACCCAGCAACTTAAATTCAAACATTAGGGAAACAATTCTTCAAATAAATAGTAATGTAGACTCAATTGTTGCCTCATGAATAAATCTGAAGCCGACCGTGTGACATTTATCCTTTATACTCTAAACTTGGGGGCTGTAATATTCATCTTAGTGATCATTTTACAGCCAAAGTATTTTGCATAATCCTTGTCAAGTGCAAAAATGTTGTTGTTATATAAATACCTAGTAAAATTAATGGTGCTCTCACTGAAAAGGCAGGAAGTTCATTGAGGACAAATATTATTCATATTGAAAACTTTGTTTCACAAAATGCATAACCACTGTGGGCTGTGCCGCGGGGGACTAACTTCACAATTGGTCAGTCTGAGCAGCCCACGAGGTCACGGCCAACCGCGCTGTAGCCGCGCCTCTGATCGCAAGCTCCTGTGGCTTCTCCGGCTTCCTCCCTCCCGCGGTGTCACAAGCGGCTAGCAGCAACGTAGGGAAGGAAGCAGACTCCAGTTTCCCAAGGTCTTGCGGAGAGGTTTGGCCCCTGGCTTGCCTTGTGTCGGTGCAAGCGCCTGCTCTCGCGCCCCCGGACACGCCCAGGGAAGAACTGGGCTCTCATTCTTTAAAGCGAGGCTTCGAAACTCTGCGAGCGAACGCCGAGGCGCAGTTTAGAAGGTGCCCGGGCGTAAGGCCGGGCGGTGGGCGCGCGCGGCACAGCCCGGGGCCTCTAGAGACCAGAGCTTGAGCAGTTCGTTAGGCTTCTACGGGGCTGGACCCTGCAGCCTGCAGGCACGGGAGGAGGTGGGGAGTGGGCGGAGGCGCAGCAGGAAACGCCTGGGGCCTGGCTGGGCCGGGCTGGCTAGGGGCACCGTGGAGGGGAGAGACGGGGCGGCGCCGGGCTGGGTTGCCCGGCCCGTTCATCTCACCCTGGAGGCGCGTCCCACCCGGGCCTCGGGGGGAGGGAACCCGGACCCGCTGACCTTTAGATTCTGGGACCGCCCCCTCCCGCTTCAGGGACAGCGGCAGCGCGGCGAGCGGCAGCGACGGCTGGAGCCGCAGTGGCAGCATGAGAGCGGGCGCCGCTCCTCCACGTCTGCGGACGCGCGGCGAGCGGCGGCTCGGCCTGCCGGCTCCATGGGGGCGCCGTGGAGCCGGCGACGCGGAGGAACCGGGCTGCCCCAGACTCTCTTGGTACTGGCGGCTGCCTGCCTGGTGTGCACTGCGCTGGCCGCCTACGTCTGCTGGGGGCAGCTGCCGCAGCTGCCTTGGACGTCTCCCGCTCCGCCGCGGCCAGTCGGCGTGCTGCTGTGGTGGGAACCTTTCGGAGGGCACCGTGGCGCCAGGCGGCCGCCCCCCGACTGCTGGCTGCGCTTCAACATCAGTGGCTGCCGCCTTCTCACCGACCGCTCTGCCTACGGGGAGGCGCAGGCCGTGCTTTTCCATCACCGAGACCTTGTGAACCGGCCCCCCGACTGGCCCCCACCCTGGGACGCCCGGAGGCGCACTGCCCAGGAGTTGGAGCTGCCAGTGGTAGACGTCGAAGAGGAAGCTGCGGCCGAAGCCTTGGCGGTGTCAGGCCCCAGACCCCCGGGCCAGCGCTGGGTGTGGATGAACTTCGAGTCGCCCTCTCACTCCCCTGGGCTGCGAAACCTGGCAGGCAACCTCTTCAACTGGACGCTCTCCTACCGGGTCGACTCGGACGTCTTTGTGCCTTATGGCTACCTCTACCCTAGGAGCCACCCCAGCGACCAGCCGCGGGGCCTTTTTCCCTCTCTGTCCCGGAAACGGGGGCTGGTGGCCTGGGTGGTGAGCCACTGGGATGAACGCCAGGCCCGAGTCCGCTACTACCACCAACTGAGCCAGCACGTGTCCATCGACGTGTTTGGCAAGGGCGGGCCTGGATGGCCTTTGCCCAAGAGCGGGCTCCTGCACACGGTGGCCCGCTACAAGTTCTACTTGGCCTTCGAGAACTCGCAGCACCTGGATTATATCACCGAGAAGCTGTGGCGCAACGCCATGCTGGCTGGGACGGTGCCAGTGGTCCTGGGCCCGAACCGTGCCAACTACGAGCGCTTCCTGCCCCGCGGCGCCTTCATCCACGTAGACGACTTCCCTAGTGCAGCCGCACTGGCCGACTACCTGCTCTTCCTCGACAGCAACCCGGCAGTCTACCTCCGATACTTCAACTGGCGCAGGAGCTACGCAGTACACATCACCTCCTTCTGGGACGAGCCCTGGTGCCGGGCCTGCCAGGCCGTGCAGAAGGCTGGGGATCGGCCCAAGAGCGTACACAACTTGGCCCGCTGGTTTGAGAGATGAAGCTGCCTTCTCCTGGGTGTGACCCAAGGAAGCCAAGTCTACAGCTTTTTGAGCCTTTGGTGTGCATTTCCTTGACTGCCGAATCATGGGACCAAGTTCTGCAAACACCCAGGTTGCTATATGGGGAAAGTGACTTATCAATTATTATTATACAGCTCAAGGATGGGTGGGAAGGATCCTGGACTTTTTTTTTTTTTTTTTTTTGCACAACTAGGAGCGCCCTAGTATCAATTTCATTGCCAACAGCAACATCACTAAAACACTGTACCTTTAAAAGTCAATACTGGTGGCCTAGTGCCTAAGGCATTTGGCAGGTAGTACAAACCCATCAGCCACTCCTGGGAAGGAAGGTTTGGCAATCAACTTCCGTAGAGATACCGCCTTGGAAACCCAAGGAGGGGTCGCTATGAGTTGGATTCCTGTCCAGGGCAGTGAGTTTAGGAGTTGGGTTCCCCCTGTCATTCGTGGGCATTGGCGCTCAGGAGTGGCAAGTGCCATTTGTTCATCTTGGTAGTGTGTGCAGAGGAGAAGAAACAGCATAACTACAAGAAGCCATTGAGTCTCTTGCACCATGTTTGTGGACTGCGCTTCCAAATATCATGCACTCTGCTCCCCATCTTACATATCCCTGGTCCCATGAAGGTCAACGTGAAGCAAACCGCTGGTTTTTAGAGTATTGTTGCTGGATAGTAGGACTGTGGCCACAAGGAGGTATTTTCTTTGTTGGTTGGATTCTTCAAAGCCTCAGCTCCTGAGGACTGTCATTCCAAGAAGCCATTGACATTGTTTCCCTGCCCTATGAATGCTAGATTGTCATTGGAGAGAAGTTGAGATAAACATAGGTGTACCTCACTTTACAGGAGAAATGTATTCCTGAACAACTGCATCCCAAGTCAAATACCCCAAGGGAGTTCAATATTTAAAGGAACTCTGTAGAGAATCCCTTTACAATGTGAATAATCATCTCCTAATTTATTTTTTTCTGTACCTCTCTGCTTTCCTATAACTTGGTTTTTTGGGTTTGTTTTTTTTTTTTAAAGCATATGAAAATTACAGATGTGAAAATAAGGCAGAAGCAGCCTTCTCCCTTCTTCCAAGAAAACCAACCTGTGTTTACAAACAGGAAAGAAGGAAGTCACAGTGTCACTTTCTACAATATTATTTATTTCATGTCTTTACTGGCTCTGAAATTTAAACTGAAATGTCTGTCTTGCAGGGATCCTGGCATTACCTTGTCTGCAGAGCATTGAAAGAGATTGTATTGCATCATGGAATTATGTAAAAGGAAAACCGTTTCATGGTGTCTGTTAGTGGCAGTTTTTATGTTTCTGTCAGTTTTTAGTTAAATGTGTAGTACCTAGGGAATGGAACTAAATTAGTGCCTACAGGTAACTTCTTTGTCTCTTGTTAAATGTTAAACTTGTCATTCTCCCTGGTACCAGCAGATTTCCCTCCTAGTCTGCATAATGGTACAGTACAGTATACCCTCACATTTCGTATACCCTTGACACTGTGCCATGGGGCCAATCTTGAAAATATATGCCTTAACTTTAAAAGTTATTGAATGAGTAGCATATTTAACAGTCTACTTACTCTGTGCCAAAAACTGGGAAGACAGAAAAATGTATAAGGCCACGTCCCTCTCTTTAAGGCTTTTGTAATCTACCACTGCCAAAATTAGTAAACTCTGATAAAATGGTTGACAGAACCTATTTATTTAAATGGTGCTCTTTGTTTTGCAGACCGTAGATCAATTATTACAAAATCAGACAATCCAAAATAATTTTTTATTTTCTCTTTAATTTATTATAAAAAGACCCTCTGTGACTAATAATTGTGGGTAGGGTACAAGATTAATTAGTTTACACAGAGTTCAGCTGTAAACATTAATTTTGCATTTGATTAGAACAGTTTGGTTTACAAGATTTGTCTCTATGTGCATTTGTTTCACGCTTATTTGAAAAGGTCATTTAATTCTAGTTGCCTCAATTATCTCTTTTCCCTAAAAGGAGAAATTAAAATCTGTGGATAAAATGTTCCTCATTAGAGTATTATAGTGTGGGCAGAATCACGATGGCAATGTGTCAACAATCCAATAAAGATAAAGTTCTATTCTTAAAATGAGTGTACATGAGATGTTTGCCAGTCATCTTGGTGTTATTGGGAATCTACATGGGGCGGTGGGAGAGGGCTTGGGTTTTGAAGGTGATCTGGTTTAGAATCAAAATCTAGCCGTGTGACCTTGGGCAAATTAGTTAATAACTCTGAGTGAGTCTCAGCTTCCCATTCTGTAAAATGGGGCAGGAAAATACTTCACAGCTCATTTTGAGCATTTCAGAAAATAAGACACTGAAAAGTACCTAAAACACAGTGAGCATCCAATTTTCCCCCTTCTTTCCTTACAGTGATTTTAGGGTGTCCCAGTACCCATTTATATGAAGAAAAATCTCAAGGTATATTACATCTGAAGTAAAAAGGGAAGTCCATCATATCAGACTTGAGTGTTTCAGTTGAGTCCCTAAAGCTAAGCCATATTATTTCGAGAATCGTCATTGCTGTTTAAATTGACCTTGAATTTGCAGACTAAGAAGCAGCACCTATGCTTTCTTTGAAAAAAAAGTTTTGTTGTTGGTTAAGTTGTATAGTTAAATAGGCCTAATGGTCATACATCTATTATTCTAGTATTAAATCCATTTTAAACTAACCACTTATTTCTTGACTATTTAGCATGAGGAAGGCATAATTGCATTCTTATTCATATGCAAATTTTTGGTATGGAACAAACTATTTTTTAGGCAAATTTCTTCAAAGAGCAAGATACATGAGGCAATTGCTCATTTTATGTTATTTTTCATGTTCAAAATTGAGAAGATTTAAACTTCACATGCTTTAATATAAAAATGCACACAGAAAAAAATACATATGAAGGCATCTCATATTTCAAAATATATTTCCTATGATTGTCACACCCTTCCTCTAAGAAATAAGCATTTCTTTTAAATGTGTCACAAATTAAGTAATATTTTTAGCACTAAAAAAAACCAAACTCACTGCTGTTGAGTAGATTCAACTCACAGCGACCCCTCCTTGGGTTTCCGAGGTGGTATCTCTACAGAAGTAGATCACCCAATCTTCTGGTTAGTAGTCAAATATTTTTAGCACTAGATAATTCTAATTACATGTATGCACCTGGAAGTATGCAAATAATCAGAATGACAGATTTGCTTTCAGTATTTATAGGGTTTTTGCGGTTTCCAAGCCTTAATTTAGAGATACAGGAGAGCTTCATGGAAAGAGTTTGCAATTTGAAGTCAGAACTTGGGTATGTGGCAAGTTAGCTAAACTCTGAGTTATAACCTTTTTAATGGATGAATGCCCCAACAAACAAGGATTAAATGTGATGATGTATGCCAACATGCTTTGTACATTGTGAAGGATATATGATCATAAATTCAACGAAACTTGTTGCTGTTGAGTTGATTCGACTCATAGCAACCCCTAGTGCCTAAGGCATTTTTGGCTGCTAACCAGAAGGTTGGTGGTTCAAACCCACCAGCCACTCCTCGGAAGGAAGGTTGGGCAATCTACTTCCATAGTGATACCACCTCAGAAACCCAAGGAGGAGTCACTATGAGTCAGATCCGACTCCTCGGCAGTGAGTAACTCTACGAAAGTAGATTGCCCAGTCTTTCTTCCGAGGAGTGGCTGGTGGGTTTGAACTACCAGCCTTCTGGTTAGCAGTTAATGCCTTAGGCACTATGCCACCAGTTTTCAAGGCTCTAGACCAGGAGTCGGCAAACTTTTTCTGTAATGGATCAGGCTTTGTAGGCCATACTGCTCAGCTGTGATGTTTCAGTGTGGAAGCAGTTGTGTATAAAGATGGGATGGCTGGATTTGGCCTCCAGGCCATAGTTTGCCAACTCTGCTCTAGGCTTTTAGAGATACCAGGAATTTGAGAAACTACCTATTGGGGATTTCTTAGAAGGAATTTAAAAATTGGAATTTAAGAATTCTGAAGGCAATGATTCCTGGGTTCCTAGTCCAGCTTTGCAACATTTCTTAATTGTCTGATCTTGGGCAAAGTAAAAATATTCTGTGCTTTGAAATTCTCATCTCTAATTGAAGGTAATCATATGTAATTTATGGAGGTGTTGGGAGGATGGATTCGATAATACACTTAAAGTACTCAGTACAGTGCCTGGCACATAGGAAGCATTTGGATAATGTTCATTGTGATTATCATCAGTCCTTTTTACAGAGCAGGGAACTAAGGTCCAGACCCATTGAGGGACTACCCTAAGGTTACAGAGGTAGTGGCAGAACCAGCTGGGTTTGTGCAAATCCCAACCCTTGTCACTCGAACTCGAACCTCTGTCACTCGAACTGCAAAATGAGGGGGTTGGACAAAATCATCTCTTGGCAACTTCTGCTTCTACTTGCTGTCATTCTACTAACTGGCACCCTAGGGCTTAAAAAGCTCATTCATCTCCCAGTGTGACTTTTGTAGTATGGAAATTACTTCATACACAGCAGCAGTAAACTGACAGGAAACCAGCCACCAGAGAGAATCTGATTTACCATTAAAAACATAGACATTTTGAAGTGTCTCGTACCTTGGAGATCAGGGAAAGAAGCCAAATCCTTGTTATTTTGTTGTTTGCTGCCATCAAGTCAGCCTTCACCTCAGGGTGACCCCATGTGTACAGAGCAGAACTGTTCCATGGAGTTTTCTAGGCTGTCATCTTTGTGGAAGTAGTTCAGCAGGCCTTTCTTTTTATCTGTCTTTAGATGGAGCAGTCAATTGCAAACCACTTGCACCACCCAGGCTTGGTAATGAGTAAGGTGAATGATTGAATTGAATGAGTTTCAGGTTATTCTTAGATGTGTCTCAGGGACTTTTATGCTACAAAGTCTTATAGCAAATCATACATTAATGTATGCATATTCAGATTATTTTGAGAAAATATGGAAGATGTCTCCTTGTTTCTAATGTATGGCCT